ACTGTTATCCATCTGCAGAGATTTTGATATTCCCAAACTGAAACTCTATGCCCACTAGAGCACTAATTCCCCTTCCTTCAATCCATCAGCCCTGTCAACCACCATTCTACTTCTGTCTGTGAATTTGACTACTCTAGGTATCTCATGTAAGTGCAATTGTACAATGTTTGTCCTTTGGTGACTGGCTTATTTTACTTAGCATAATGTGGTTCATGTCATGTGTCACAACTTCATTTTTAAGGCTGAATAATACCCTGTTCTATGTGTATACCACATTTTGTTCATTCATCTGTCAATAGATATTTGGGATGTTTCCACCTTTTGGCTATTTGATTAATACTGCAGTGAGCACGGGGGTGCAAGTGTATGTTCAGATGCCTGCTTTCTGTTATTCTGGGTATATATCCAGAAGCGAAATTGCTGGATCCTATGGTAGTTCTCTGTTTAATGACTGTTTACCATAATGGCTGCACCATTTCACATTCCCACTAATAATAAACAAGAGCTCCAAGTTCCCCACATCCTCACCAGTGCTTATTTGTCTCCTTCCTTCCTCCCTTCCTTTTTCTCTCCCTCCCTCTCTTCCTCGCTGATGGCCATCATACTAGATATGAAGTGGCATCTTAGAGTTTTCATTTGCATCTTGGATATTAGTGATGTTTAATGTCTCTTTATTTGCTTGTTGGCTATTTTTATGTTATTGTTGGAGAAATGCCTATGCAAACACCTTACTCAACACTCCCCCACTACAAGAAAAATTTTAAAGAATGTCTTTCAAGCAGCAGGAAAATGAAAAAGATGAACAAAGAAAAAAGCAGCAGAAATGGTCATTACTTGGGTAAATGTATAATCTTTTTTATTAATCTTTTTGAAAGGTAATTTTTTATTCAGAGCAAATATATTAAGCTATTGTGAAGCTTATAGCATACAAAAAAGTACAGTGCATAGTAACAGCTTGAAGGTTGAGGGAGAAAAGGAAGGATATTATTAAAGACTTTAATGCCCTTCATTAGGTGGTACAATATAGAGGTAGATAAGATATATGTCATTAACTGTAGCAGTTAGTAAAATAGCAAAAAACCCCCCCAAAATAAACAAAAAAACACAAACTTATAGCTAATAATCCAAAGCAGTAGATAGAATTGAATATACAAAAATAATTAAGTCAACAGAAACCATGAAAAGATGAAGGGACCAAAGACCAGACGGGAAAAATATAATAATATGATAGGTTCAAACTTAATGATATTGTATAATCCCATTAAGTGTAAATAGTGTTTGCTTCAGCAGCACATGTAAAATTGGGATGATGCAGAGATGTACAAAGATGACATAAATTTGTGTGGTGTTTCATATTTTTAAAAAAGTAAGTAGTGTTAAAAAACATCCTGATTTGAAGGCTGGTATTGAATTAAAAAGCAAGATTCCACCATATACTCGCCTGTAAGAAATAGTAACTGTAAACAATAAATAGATTAAAAGAATGGAAAAAGACATAACACATTAACTTAGTTGAAAGAAACTTGGAGTGGTTTTATTAGTATTACAGTAGGTTTCAGAGCACAGAATATTTCCTACCTGGGTTAAAGAAGATCGTTTCCTAACAATTAAGGGATCAGTTAATTAAGAGGACTATCAGTGCTCAGTATTTTGTTGTAGTTGCTGCTGTTTAGTTGCTAAGCTGTGTCTCACTCCTTTGCAGCCCTCTGGACTGTAGCCCACCAGGCTCCTCTGTCCAGAGGATTTCCCAGGAAAGAGTACTGGAGTGGGTAGCCATTTCCTCCTCCAGGGAATCTTCCTGCCCCAGGGTTTGAACCCAGGTCTCCTGCACTGGCAGGCAGATTCTTTGTCACCCAGCCACTGGCACCTAGTAATAGAATTTCAAAACAAACGAAGCAAAAACTAACAGAAATTCACGGAAACACTCACAATTACGGTCAGAGATTTCAGTGATCCCTCTCAATAAGTGATGTAACAAACTGACAGAAAAAAAAGTTTCAAAGATGTAGTAGACTTGAATAATACTGTCAGCCAACTTGACCTGGCTGCATTTACAAACCGCTTTAAACAAGAAGGGCAGGATACCCATTTGTTCACAAGGTCATACAGAACATTTACCAAGATAGACTGTATTTTGGGCCATAAAACAAATTTCAGTAATTCAGAAGGAATCAACTCCTAAAATGAACCTTCTCAGATAACAGTGCAATTGAATTAGAAATTATTAATAGAAGTATCCTTGGAAAATCTACAATATTTGAAAATTACATGGTATCTTATAAGTAATTCATGATTAAAAGAAGAAACAAAAAGGGAAATTGTAAAGTATTTTAAATTGAGTAAGAACAGAAACAATGTATTAGATGTTGCTAAAACAGTACTTAGTGGGAAATCTATAGCTTTAAATATTTATATTAAGAAAGAAGAAAGATCTCAAATAAATGACCTTAGTTTCCACCTTAATGATGTAGAAAAAGAATAAAGTAATTCTAGAGGAAGCAGAAGAAGAGAGAATCTGAATAGCTATATATGTATTAAAGATACTAAAGTTGTAGTTAAAAAAAGAAACTTCCCACAAAGAAAACTGTAGGTCCGGTTCACCTATTGGATCAACTGGTGAGTTTACTAAATACTGTAGGAAGAGATAATAGTCCTACACCAGCTTTTCAAAAATACTTGAAGTGGAAGGAATGATTTCTAAAGACGCCAGTGTCGGCATTAGTGGGATGCAGAACCAGGCAGTAGGTTCTGTAATAGGAATAAAAGAAAGCCCTAATAAACAGATGTGACTTGATTTTCTATGTAGGAAATCTGATGGACTCCTGCTAGACCTAATGAATAAGTATAGTAAGATTGAAGGATACAAGATAAATATGCAAAAATTGATTGTGTTTCTGTACACTAGCAAGGCTTCCCGGGTGGCACAGTGGTAAGGGATCCACCTGCCAATTCAGGAGACACAAGAGACGCAGGTTTGATCCCTGGGTTGGGAAGATCCCTTGGAGTAGGTAATGGCAACTCACTCCAGCATTCTTACTTGAAAAATTACATTGACTGGGTAGCCTGATGGGCTGTAGTCCATGGGTTTGCAAAAGAGTCTGACATGAGTGAGCATGCACAGCAAGGAACAATCTGAAAAAAATACCATTTAAAAATAGTATCAAAAATATGAAATATTTATGGATAAATCTAACAAAGTGTGTTAAAGAATACCGAAAGCTATAAATTACTGCTGAAATGAAAGGATACCTAAATAATTGAGATCCATTTGATTCTCATTATTCATGGATTCTGTATTTGTGAGCTGATCTATTTGCTAAAATTTATATGTAACCCCTAAATAATCCTTGCAGTGCTTCTGTGATCATTTACTGACAAGTGCGGAGTGGTGAAAAATTGAGTTGCCCTGTGTGCACAGTCTGAACTGGGGTTGAAGAAGATGGCAGTCTGCTCTTGTTTCAGTTCTCCTGCCATAAGCAAGTGTCCTTTTCTTGGCTTATTTAGTGCCACATTTTATTTTTGTGTTTTTTTAAAAAAAAATTTCTTTTATTTTTGTGTTTTTTGGTTGGTGATTTAGCTATTTAAAATGGCTCCCAAGCATAGTGCTGAAGTGCTTTGTAGTGTCTTTAAGAACAGAAAGGCTGTGATATGTCTTATGGAGAAGATATATGTGTTTCGCTAAACTTCATTCAGGAGTTATTGTTGGCTCTGAGTTCAATATTAGTGAGTTCAACAGTATATATTAAGTAAGGGATCTTTAGCTAGATAAAACACACATAAAACAAGGTTATTTATTAATTGACTAAAAAAAATGTTATGCCCAGAGGTTTACAGGAACCTAAGCTTTTATTCAAGCTGGTTTTAGAAAAGGCCGAGGAACCAGAGATCAAATTGCCAGTATCCGCTGGATCATTGANCCAGTCCATCCTGAAGGAGATCAGTCCTGGGTGTTCATTGCAAGGACTGATGCTGAAGCTGAAACTCCAGTACTTTGGCCACCTCATGCGAAGAGTTGACTCATTGGGAAAGACCCTTATGCTGGGAGAGATTGGGGGCAGGAGGAGAAGGGGGCGACAGAGGATGAGATGACTGGATGGCATCACTGACTCGATGGACATGGGTTTGAGTAAACTCCGGGAGTTGGTGATGGACAGGGAGGCCTGGCGTGCTTCGATTCATGGGGTCGCAAAGAGTCGGACACGACTGAGCGACTGAACTGAACTGAACTGAGCTGAACCTTTTATTTCCCCAGAAGCAATGACTCAGTATTTAATAATTCACTGTTTTGCAGGAATGTTAAAAAACATAGCTATCACTGAGATGTCATCACCTCAATAATGAAAATTGACTGTATGTCATGTACATGGATCGGAAGCCTCAGCTTTGTTGAAATGTTGATTTTCACCAAATTAATCTATAGATCCAGGGGAATTGTCTATGTTGACAATTTTTTAGTGTCATTCCTGGTGTTTTCTGCTCTATAAAAGTTTTACATTTGGTGTTGTTAAATCTATCAATTTATCCCATCATAATTTTTAGGTTTCTTTCTAGAAGTTTTCTATGTTGCAGGATTTTGACATACGTTTAGCCAAGTTTTCTTGTGTTTTTGTCATATTTTTATATTCTTCACTTGAATACTTTTGGAATTAATTTTTCTGTCTATTTGAGATAGGGACAGAAGAGCCTGGCGGGCTATAGTCCATGGCGTCAAAAGAGTTGGATGACATAGTGACTAAAATACCACCACAACCGTATGAGATAGGAACTCTAATTTTTCCTAATTGACAGGCAATTCTAGTACAGCAGTTTGGTCCTTGGGTGGTGATTTTGCTTGGACAGGCTTAGGTTACTGTCTGATGTGAAGTTATAAGCTATGTTTTAGTTGCAGCTGTGGACAGACAGTTAACGTTTCTCTTAGAGGGCAGGACCCTGTGAAAGGTAAATTCCTTGTTCTTTTTTGACTCTTTATTTTCTTTCTTTTTATTTTACTTGGGAATTAGGATGAGCCCCTTCCAGTAGCAGGGAATAGGGAAAGGGGAGCCAGCAGAGAGACATAGACTGTGTTCAAGTTATTTTCTGTACCTGTGATGGACACGGATACTTCTATGGAGAGACTTGCCTTGGCAGGTGAGGTTAGCCTATGGTTTCCTAGCATCACTTCAGCTGTAATTTAACTACCTTAAAAATGCTGCTACTCTTGAGTTCTGGCTTAGGCGACTTTTGGTATTTTGGTGGATTCTGGTCACATTTTTTCTGCTGCATCCTACTCTGCATTCTACATTCTGCGAGTGATCTGCTTGCATTTTCCAGAATGTGGTGTGTTTACTGTGGTTTCTTCTGCATGTGTGCTCTGGAAAAGCTCGGCGTCTTTCTCTTTCCCACCCTCCCTAACTTGGTGAATGCCTACTTTCCTTAACTAATGTAATGTAATCTAATCACCACCCCTTGAAACCTGCGTTTCAACACCCCCTCACCTAAGGAGTCCCTTTTAAAGTCTTAATCTTAGCACCTACCATGTTGTAGTCTATGTATTTGTTTCTTCTCTGTGTGTGTGTTTTCTCCCAGACTCTGAACTCCTTTGGAACAAGTATTCTTTGCCTGTTGATTGAAAACTGTAAACTGTATTATTTTGGCATATTTTGAAGATCAAGTCCCAGAGAGTTTAGGACATTTTAGTATAGAAACAATCTGTCTCAAAAAGTAGGGTAGGCCTCTATTTTGCTGAGTGTGCAGATCCTGTTATAGCTATTTTACCAATATAACTTGTCAAAGTTAGGGAGTGTTACATGTAAACAAACTTTATATCCAAGGTAAACTCTTCCCTAACAAAAATATGAGAAATCTCAAATGTAATATATATCACACTTGGGGATTTTTCAATGGAAGCAAGCTTAATACGTTACAGTAAGTCAGTGGAAAAATAATAGCAAATACATGCTTTTCATAGAATAATAAAGAAGTGTAATAGTATGAATATAATCACCTTATCCTAACAAACATTTTAACTCGGAATCTATTTTAGCTTAGGAAGCCATGAAAAAAGTTTATGAAATCAAATCACTGTATTCATTTTCAGTGATAGTGTGTAAAGATTATTTATATGCAGAGTAATACCAGATTCTTATTGTTAATAGTATCTTACATAATTTGATTCAACCAATATACTATAATCCAGTAATATAAAAACAATTATTATTTCTATTTCACTGTCCAGGAAAGTGAGATTTAAGTACTTTCTTAAGGTTATGTATAGAAGTCAGTCAGTGGCAGAGATACCCAAAACAGGCTCTTAGGCTCTTAAGTATATGGCCTTTGTTCTCTCAGAAGCAAAGTTTTAAAACTGTGAAATTCATTGTCATTAATTTTATTTACTTCTTATGTGAATCCATTATTGGATTCATGTAATTTTTGTGAAGCAGAAAGTTAGAATGAATGGAATATAAGTTTTAGTGCCATTTTATTGTCATTTTCCTTTAAGGAATTTAGGTAAGATTTTCTTACCAAACAGAGCTAAGTTTATAGAGCTATAAGCATATTTTACTCACATTTAAACATGCTTAAATCTGGTGCTGTTACTTTTTATACTGTAAAATCATAACATTATTCTTGCTACGATCTTAATATTTTTTGTATCATAACAGATGAATATGCAGCATTGCTGAGTTACGAAAATTGTCATGGTAGCAGTATACTGTTTTAGTATTATGCTAAATAACTCATTTTTACCAGACTTAAATATTTTCTCATTTTCATTCTTCTTTTGCTTTTTGCTGTTCAGGTAGCTGTGTGATCTGTATTTAACACTGTGGTGTGCAAGGACCAAAATTTGACTGTAGTCCCAGATCACTTTGTATTTTATATAATAACTGACTTCCTGGCACAGAAATGTTTATAAAATGTTTGTTTGAATGATATGCAATAGAATAAGTAAAATGCAGATTTCCTTAACCTTTTCTGACTAATAGTCTTTACCTTTTTTGTAGTGTTCCTTATTTGTTTATTTTTACTTTGCGGTTTAATTGTAGAATTAGCTGTCAATTGTATTGGTCCTACAGTTGGTTGCTTATATTCCTTTCTTTTTTTTTAACCTATGCCTTACTAGGTATTTGTGTAGTATTGTTACAAAATAATTTCTTAATAATGATTGTGATCAAATTATACCAAATGATTAGTCCTGTAAAGGATATTAAAAAGTAAAAGTATTAAAAAAGATACTATGTTCTACATTAAACCTTGTCATAGAAAGTTTATAGATGAAGTTCCTAAAACCAGCTATTTCCATTTATTTAATGTATTCTTTATATATTGTGACTTCGATTTAATTGAGCAGGAAGTAATCCATTTGCATGTTTTATGCTTAGGTTTTGTGTTTTTTTAGTGTTTGGCCGTACACTGACATGGGGGAACCTATTTCCCCAACTCGGGATTGAACCCCCGCCCCCTGCTTTAGAAGGCAGAGTCGCAGCCACTGGACTGCTGGGGACCCCTGTGCTTAAGTTTTAAAATGGGAGGTGAAGGAAAAACTAAAAAAGCAGTTAAATATGTAAGTCTGTAAATGAGATGAAGGAAAAATATAGGATAAGATACTATAAAAATATTCTGAAGCTGTAATAATAATTGTGGTAGAATTTAAAGTACTGTGTATTTAAAAATTGTAACCTTACAACAACCTGAGTGTTAGTTAAGTAGAATGTATTTATTACTCTTATTTTATAGATAAAGAATAATAGGCTTAGTAAATTTAAGTAAAAATAATTAAGACCTTTTAGATTAAGGGAGGGTTTCTTAAGGTAGTAAAGTCACAGACCACAAAAGAAAAGATTGATAAATATTATACATAAAAATAGTCAATAGAAAAAAGGACAGAATTAGTTCCCAGAAGAGGAAACCCAGATGATCAAAAACAGTTTTGTCAGACATCAGATTGTCAGAGATAAAAATATCTGACCATACTACACATTTTCAAGGTTGGAGGGAAATAGTAATTATCATGCTGCTGAGGGAAGGTCATTTGGTACAGTCCTTCTTAGTGATGTTTGGTAGTGTAACTTTAACTTATAAGAGTGAGAAATTGAAGACAATCTATTAATAAAAGTCTTCTGTCAGTATGGAGGGTTAAAACATGGCTAAGGTATTGTGCTGAAAATTATACATCAGGTAAAAAGTAACACTGGAGCTATGAGTTAAATCTCAAAAACATAATGAAGAGTGAAGAACATTGTGAAAATGGTACGTCTGTTATATTACTATTTATGCGAACTACCAAACCACATATGTCAGGATTATGTATCTCTTCGTGGATATATATGCATGCATATAAATATATTTTAGAATATCTGAGAGGGATATAGTTTAAATTCACATAGTGGTAGTTTCTGGAAAAGATAAAGGGAACTTAACTGAAATGTAATACTGTTTTTCCTTTTTTTAAAAAGTAAGAATAAAAGCAAACAAAATACTAATTTTAATTTTGGGTAATAACTGGTCATTTGTTAAATTATTTTAATTTTTTTCCTCAAAATTTCATTAAAAAAATTACAAAAAAATAATAGTTGGGAGAGCTAATAATTAAACTTAGGACTTGAATCCCACATCTGGAGCTTTTTCAATTTAATATGCTACTTTAGAATGAGAAGGAAAAAAGAAAGATTAAATGATAAAACAGTCAGATAAAATTTAGTTTTATAGCAATAAGAATAAGAATTATGTATTTATGCTAAAATTTCTTGAGAAGAAAGTTACAGGATAAATTAAAAGTTATTATATAATCTTATGCTGTTTTTCAATCTTTAAGCATGCTGTTATCATGTTTATGTATAGAGAGCAATTTAGGTACTCAGGAAAAAAGTTACCTTAATTTATTGTTTAAAATGTGATACATACTTCTGTTGCATGTAATGGAAATTTAGATGATTTAGATGATTTGAATGATGATCAGATGGTTTGATGATTTGAAATTTAGATGATTTGAAACTTTTATCTAAAATTCATGAAAATAATTTAATCCAAATATGCTGATTTCAGTCTGAAAAAGTCAAAACTAGTTTTTCTTCCATTTTGTAAAGTCATTCTTCACAAAAACTTTACAGCCTTTTTATTTACAGCTTCTCTCCAAGATAAAATGGCAAACCCCAAAGAGAAAACTCCAATGTGTCTGGTAAATGAGTTAGCCCGTTTCAATAGAGTCCAACCCCAGTATAAACTTCTGAAAGAAAGAGGGCCTGCTCATTCGAAGGTAAGGTTCCGAAGAGAGGTGGTGAGCCATGCTTATCAAAATCTGTGAGATTTATCATCTCAGGTTTTAACTGTGCTTTATTTTGGGGGGAGGGGGTAGTGGATGGCCTAACGGCTCTCTTAGTTCTCTTTTAAAAGTATTTTAAAGTCTGTAACTGTATAGCTCATTATGGTTTGCAGAGTTCATGCTGATATCATACTTCACAAAAATCTTAATGAAACCACATGAGATACCAATTTTTGATTTCCACTTTGTAAATTAAGAAACTCAGGCTCAGAAAAGCTAAGTAACTTGCTTTATAGTTCGTGAGTGCCAGCACCAGCACTTGTACATGTATTCTGTGGCTTCCAAGTACGGTGCTTTTCCCATGACATAGTAACTGGTAACCTAAAAATGGATGCGGAGTAAAATATATATAGCAACAGTTACTTAGTGAGACTCCTTTTCCAATAGGATATTTAATTCATCATTTATAAAAGTTGTATATAGCAGTTTTGTTGTTAGCTGTGTATTCATTTATAATATTGTTCTTTTAAATGTAAAATTGATTTATATTTTTATATAGCCTCATACATGTTTATTTGTGTATACATTGCAAAGAAATTATGACTAAAGCATTTATGCTTGAGCTCTGTCATTCTGTTTAAAAATCTCACTTGTGCACACATATCCTTGGTACATTTTTAATCTTGGATATTGGAGATTATGATAATGATTATACTTTTTTGTATGCAATGTGGAAGCAATTGATTCTCTAAAAGTTGGTTAATCTTCATACAGTACAGGTTATTGGATTATTTAATTGTCTTCTAGCATCTCCTTCAAAGTAAGGGAAATGAGATGAAACTGAAATCTGTCCATTTTGTTCCATGTTGGAGACTTCTATGAAGGATTTCTGGGCAGCACTTTAATTTGTTGAGAATATCTTTTGTTCAGAGAAAAAGGTAGTGGCCTTTCTCTTCCACACCTGTTAATTCATATCTCTTACACACTCATTCTTTCTACCCTTAATCTTGTTGAAGTTTTGAATTTCTTATAATATCTCATGTTTTTTCACATCTGTCAGATTTGAACACACATCTCACATCTTTCAAACCTTTGTGAAACTTCTCTGCTGCCTCCACTGGGTCTCTAGCAGGTCCTGACTTTCTTAGTTGTAGTTGTTACTGTGCTGTGCTGCTGGGATGTATGAGACCGTTTCCTTAGAGTAATAAATACTTTATCCTACTACAATTCGTAATTCCTTTAGTATGTCTCCTGTTTTTTTTATTCTCATTGCCAATTCCAGGAATTCTTTCTTGAGATAGACCCCCAAGTTTGAATTTCATGTTAATAGACTAACTGCCCATGTGACATCACACTAGTCATTTGCTGACCTCTGAGTGATTCCATCACATTTCTCATGGCTCACTTTCACTCTCTACAGTATTCATCCTTAATTTTTGGTGACACTGTCTAAATGATGATTATTTCAGCATGCTGACATTTTAGTTTCTTACATTTCTCCAATTATCTTGTCTTCCATTCTCCTTCAGCCACTCATTCCTGTGATCAGAGTCTTGATTTGACCACTACCAGTAATTGCAAGACCCTCCAGAATTAGAATCACAAGCATTCATTTGTCTCTGACACCTAGTTCATTCCGTCTGATAGTCTGCCTTCAGTAGTCCTTCCACACCACAATTCCGTTGATTCTACCACCTTTTTACTATTTCTCACTTACCTCAATCTTCACGTTTCCTTTTTCGGCTTTAATTCCATACACTTTGTATGTACTCTTAACTCCCTTCCATCTTGATTAGAACATGCTTAGCAAAATCCCAGCCCAAATCCCCACTCTGCCGCCCCTTCTGAGGTATGGATGAACGACTTGTAGAGGACAACGAGTGGTTGTTTCTGTTTCGTTACTAAGTCCCTACCCCTCTTTGCCTAGTCAAGGTCATTCCTCCAGCTTTCTCTCCCCTCTCCCTCCTTAACTGTCTTCTGTATCATCGAATTCTGCTTCTGATGGACCGACCGGGTTTGTTGTGGCCCATGTTCTTCTTTCTAGACGGTCCTGGATTCCCTTGGGTTTTAAGGAAATCTGGAGATTCCTTTGCCAGCCTCCACCTACTGCTCTGGGTCTTTTGTCATAGACCACACCATTTAGCCTGTAGCTCATCTTAAAAAGAGTGAGAACTAGAATAAGTAGCATATTCCTGAATGAAAGGTAGTACTTATGTGTCTTAAGTCATAATTTAATGTTAATATTAGTTGGCTAAGTCTGAATCCTTTTTGTGGAAAGTAAAGTCATTTGCATTTATGCATGTCTGCCAGTGGTTTTTAAGTGAGACATAAAATATATTTGAATGAAATAAATGATTATCTCTGGCATGAAAAATTTAAACCTAGCCCCAACTCATTAATTTTTTTGGGACATTAGCCAGTTATATGGCAACTTCCATAGGTATGTATAGATGTGTTTATGTACACACACACATACTTAACAGTAGTGGTTCCCGACCTTGGTTATTCATTGGAGCTTTAAAAAATACTTTAAAAATGCCTGAGTCTTACTCCCAGAAATTCTGATTTAATTGGTCTTGGATGAGGCCTAGATACCAGGACTTTTTTAAAGCTCTCAGATGACCCTTTTGTGCATCCAGAGTTGAGAAACACAGGACAGAGATTAATGTCTTCAAGGTGATGTAGAACTGTCTTCGCATACATACTTCTTGATGGGAAGTAGTGATCTGTATTTACATGCTTTCTTCTTTCCTCATTGAGTCTTACAGAATGTGAACAACTTGCAGAACTTTTAATGTGTGACTAGTAAATAAAAACTATTTTAATGTTTGCCTTGTCCCCTTTTATTTTTATGAAGTAATTTGTTATTCCTTATATTTATGTGAGTTATTACGACATTGCTGTATTGTATCTCTTGGATACCTAAATCCAGTTCTTTATTTTCCTATGACTTGTTTAGATTTTCTCAAATCTCAAAAGAAGGCTGTTATAATGCAGATAGCCGTGAATAACATAAAGTGGTATTTTCTTTCTTTTTTTTTTTTTACTTTATTTCCCTATTTTGATGAGTTGTGGATATGCATGGCTAAGTGTTAAGAAAGCTGCTGTCATAGTGACACTTGTATAAAGTTTACTCTGGAATATATATTGCTGACGGAGGCAGTTCTACCCAGTGGCCTTGAAGTAAAGTATTTTTCTTCTTTTAATTCTTGCTAGATTTACTAGGCTTGATCTTTGCCCTGCATTATCTGGCTTATGTGGCCTCAAACAACTAATTTAGAATCTCAGCTGTAATTTGAGAACTATTATACCTGTTGTAGTATAGTATAATAGGATGATAGTTTGTAAATTCTTAGCAAGTATGTTGATAAAGGAGGTACCTAGATAATTGTTTTATTGTTTGTTATTAATAGTTGTATACAGGATTTAAAAATCCTTGGTAAAATATCTGTTGAGTGTAATATGACAGACACTGTTCCCTATTGCAGCTTTCTGCTCTGCTGTTTTCTTCTTTGTATATTCTGGATTCAAATCCTTTCTTAGAAATATGCTTGGCACTTATTTCCCCCTCTTCATGGCTTATCATTTTCTTTCTTTCTTTTTTTACAGTGTCTTTTGAAGAGCAGTGATTGTTAATTGTGATGAACTCTGGTTTATCCATTTGTTCTCTTATAGATTTTGTTTTTGGTATCATATCTAAAAAATCTTTGCCCTATTAGAGCTCACAAGATTTTCTTCTGTGCTCTCTTCTAGATATTATATAGTTTAAGTTTTTACATTTGGGTCTTATAATTAGATCTAATTGCCACCTTGAGTTAATTTTTATAGATGATATGAGATCTGTAACAAGATTTATTTTTTATTTCTACTTTTTGGTTACAGATGTTCAGTTGTTGAAGAGATTGTCCTTTCCCCACTTCATTGCCTTTGTACCTTCAAAAATCAGCTGTCTATATATATCTTTATTTCTGGTCTCTGTTCTGTTCTGTTGGTCTCTTTTTCTGTCTTTAGGCAAATACTATGCTGTTTTGATTGTTGTTTTACTCACTAAGTCGTGTCTGACTCTTTGTGACCCCAGGGACTCTACCCCGCCAGGCTTCTCTGTCCATGGGATTTTGCAGGCAAGAATAATAGAGTGGGTTGCCATTTCCTTCTACAGGGGACCTTCCCAACCCAGGGATCAAACCCATGTCCCCTTATTGGCAGGCGGATTCTTTACCACTGAGCCACCTGAGAAGCCCAAGTGTTTCGATTACTGTAGCTTTATAATCTGGTAGTACCAGCCCTCTGCTTTTGTCCTTCATTTTCAGAGTTGTTTGGGCTATTCAATACCCTTTGCATTTTCATACGAATTTTAAAGTCCACTAGTCCATTCTATAAAGCACCTTGCTGGGATCTTGAATAGAACTGCAGTGAATAAATAGCTCAATTTGGGGAAGATTAACATGTTAGAAAAATTGAGTCTTCCAACCTATGAACAAAGTATCTCTTGTTTACTTAGACATTCTTTAATTTCTCTCAGTATTTTGTAGTTTTCAGTGGACAGGTATTTCTCATCTTTAGATTTATTTCTAAATATTTCATGTTTTTGAAGCTATTATAAGTGGTATGGTTTTTAAAAATTTCAATTTATAATTTTTCTTATTAAGCATTGCTAATGTAATGTATAAAAACACAGTGGGAAAAAAAACAGTGATTTTTTGGTTTTTTATATTTTCTTTTATACATTTTAAATCATTGAAATATGTATAGCATTTCTGTGTAAATATGCATACATGAGAGTATGAAGAATAAAAGTACAAATAGAGAAATCTGAAGATTCCTACTTTTTCCATAGCAGGTTAACTTTAATTTATACTGTCAAACAGTGCTAAAAGTAACTGCCTCTCTAATATAGGGAATCCATACAGTGCCAAAGAATTTAGAGGAGAGTGAAATCTATCAGATTATTTTTATGATGCATTGAAAATTCTTTTTATAAACATTTTTAATGTAATTAAAAATTATCTATTTGTTTTTGGGTATTCTGGGGCTTCGTTGCTGCTCAGGCTTTTCTCTAGTTGCAGTTAGTGGGGCCTCGTCTCCAGTTGTGGCTGCGGGCTTCTCATTGCGGTGGCTGCTGCTGCTTGCGGAGCACTGGGTCTGGAGCGTGTGGGCTCAGCAGTTGTGATCCCCAGGCTCCAGAGCACAGGCTTAAGAGTTGTGCACGGACTTAGTTGTTCCAAGGCATGTGGAACCTTCCTGGACCAGAGATCAGACCCATGCCTCCTATATTGGCAGGTGGATTTTTTACCACTGAGCTACCAGGGAAGCCCTTTTATGTAATTTT